ATAACAACATTATGATCGAATTCCCCAAATTGTGGAGAATTTAAAGTTGGTTGAGGATTTTTGGGGAATGGAATTATGCGGAGATTTTGAAAATCAATAGCCCGGGGCAAGTCAGAACTTTTTTCAAGAAATCTAAATACCTATCTTAACATTTTTGTTAGGGTAATTATGAATATCGAGTGACTCCCTTTTTATTATTTTCATTGCACCACATTTAATTTTCGTATTTATTTCGGCAATATTGTGTATCATTTAATGCTTTTCATTTTTTTATTTTTTTATTTTAAAGCAGAGAACCGGATGCATATAAATGCAGATGCTGTGGTACTTTTTAATAGCAACAAGGAAAGGAATAAAATACTTCATGGATTAAAATGCATGTTACAAAAATATGGAGTGTGAAAAAAATCGGTAAAAAAGAAAAAAATATCAGTTAAAAAATTAATCTTATAAAGTTAGTTGTAAATAGTTTCATTTCTTAAAATGAAATTGAGGATTTTGTGTGGGAATCTGTTGAAGTTTTGTCCCTAAATTGGGGAATCTGACATGGATTTTCGGGGAATTTGACAAATTGACATAAGAATTAGAGGCGGAAATCACTCTAAAATTTGCAAGTAATTTTTAACAGTTTTGACACACCTCCTTTTAAATTCAAAGTATTGGCCGGATTAAAACGAAAAGTCAATTTAAATATAATAAAAGAAATATTTTTTTGGATTAATTCCGATAGATTAATTAACTGTCAATCATAATTGCAATTGTTTTATCTATTAAATTATTCAGTACCATTTCATTTCTATTTTCTTGTACAAAATCAAACATAATGATAAAATTGTGTTTATAATTGTGTAAGTTCAATATCATTTTTGTAGTAACGAACTGCTTGTTGCGTCAGGGTACAATTGACTGTCTAATTGTGTTAAAAATGACATCTATAAGTTCTAAATTCCATTTGAAGACTAGTCGTAGGTATAACTAAAGTTATGAAATAAAAGTTGGATATGTCGTAACGGTTTAACGATGTGTGCAAATGATCAGTGCTTACCGAAAGGATACACGAACCACGCCGTAGGCATATGTTTTATTAATTTTAGTTTTTGAGACAGTTCCGTGAGTGTGCGGCAGTTCAATCGTTTTTTTTTAAATTAAATACTTGTTAATTATTACATGTTGTTATTATTCTTGATGTTACGTTTTCTGTTTCTTGTTTCGTTTTAATAGTGCCTAACTAGTACGTTTATAGTGCTCGTGAATACGGCAACATGTTAATGTGGCTGAACATGTTAACATCCTCGCACATGGCTCCAGCATGATTGTGCACCTCCACATGTCGTGAGGTTCGTACGTGTGTGTCTCACCAAGCTATTTGATATTCTCCCTGTGGGGGTATGTGAAAGTGAGAATGTGTGTGAGTGTGATAGTGCTGACGAAATGCGCCAAAGTATTGTGGAATTTTTCGACAAACTACGTGCAGACTATGTTGAAAATAATAGAATAAGTCAATACCTACATACTTATTAGAAAAATGTAAAGCCTACAAATGAGTTACCTATGCCTGTACGGCACCTATTGTTTTTCCAAAACTGATAAAAGTAGATAGGTAGTACTACTTCTGGCTCACTGAGTCAGAAGTGGTACAACGTTCGTCGACTCACGATCCTAAAAAAAAGGTTTTGGCATACTCTGATCACGAATCTGCGGTCCGTTTTTGCGTAGGATGCACATCTCCGGAATATCCGGTGAGGGCCTCCAATGTCATTAGCGCCCCATTGTTCTTATCATTGAATACCGTCGTTGTCTATTTTTCCTCGGCGTATGCGTCGGCTTATCAGTGCTATTGTATTATACTTCTTTGTTCCTATCTACAACGCTAATCTGAATCATTAATAATACACATTACCTAATTTTGTTACAATTTTTATTTACAAAATACAAAATCTTATTACTTATTGTCTATAAAATAGGAGTGAAACATCTCATCCACTAAAATATCATTGTACAATGTGTTCCCTGTAAATATACTCGTAAAACTATGCATTGAACATCCCTGAAACTTATATAGCAAATACATTAAGCAATATTCGCCACAAACTGAAGTCCACTCATTCTGAATCCTATCAATATTCTAGTTCCATCTTTTACAATTCCTTTTTAAAAACTCTAGATGATATCGTACAGGTGATCATCCATATGAATCAAAATATTGACCGACGTCATTCGTATCGATATATAAAGCTACCCAATGTGACCCTGGTTTATCATCTGTATCCAAATTGTATATTATATACGTTGATACAGGGAATAGAGTGAATGGGGCACTACACTCTATTATGAAGAACCAGAATGTGTCAAAAAAGGCACGTATGGTAATTCATAATGCTGTGTTCCCTCATAATGCAGTCCCTACTTTAATGTATGGTAGTGAAAGCTGGGTGTGGCAGAAGAAGCACGAAAGTAGAATAAATGCTGTAGAAATGCAGTCTTTAAGGAGTATGCTAGGGTTGAATCTAAATGACAGGGTGAGAAATTGCGTGATAAGAGATAAATGTGGTATGAAAACGAAAACCAACGCTACCGCAATCCTGGGTCACATTGGGTAGCAATGTGACCCAGGTTTATCATCTGTATCCAAATTGCATATTATATACGTTGGTACGTGGGTATACATGGGCAGTCTATTAGCAGCATAAACATTATTTTCTAGACTGGGGTGAATCTTTTTCAGATGTTGTTGTACATCTAGTGTATCCATGATATTACTGCTATTAGTAGATTATTACAGTACCAATCTACTCAATGATTAACATAGGAATGATCATTAGGTTATACAAATCGTATTTGATTCATCAATACACTGAACAAGACGCAACACGAAGGAATGTTGAGATAAGCAACAGAATGTGAGATAAGCTTGTTGATGCATAAAGTTACTCGTACTATCAGTTCCACTGCAGAAATTCTTAAGATTAGAATTATTACTTACTGGTACTATATAAGACCGAGCAGCTGCAGTCATGGAGTTAGTGTATGGTCGTTTGACCGCAGTGGATCTATCAATACTACATTTGTGTTACTTCAACGCATCAAAGGCTATGGATATAAGTGTTTATTCTATTGACAAACTTACTTTTCTTTCTGTTATTTTCTTACGTGTGTAAGATTTAGTGTTAACAAATTATATTTAAATATTATGTGTGTATATGATTAAGCCGTGGTAGCTCAGATGTTTAGCGTAAGCTGTAAATTACACAGTACGCGACCCGGGTTCGATCCCCGCCGGCACCAATTAAATTGTTAATTGCAATTTTAAGTGCTGATTTACCATGTGCCAAAAATGATCACAAAATTTTACATTGTTCTTGTGATGAAGATGAAGGTACACAATATATATATATATATATATATATATATATATATATATATATATATATTAATTGTTTACCTACACCAACACTTTCATTTTTTATTTCACCCCTTAGAACTTTAGACGTGTGTAATGTTTCACTTTATACATCCGTTTACTGCTATTGTGGCAGGACCAAGTGGATGTGGGAAGTCAAATTTTGTAACAAATTTCATAAAATCAGTTACAGAAATATGTAATTGTGATTTTAATCAGATCACATGGTGCTTTGATGAAATGCAAGCTTTATATAATTTATCAAATGTTAAATCATCAAGGAATTCCAAATCTTAATATGTTTGATGGTGAAAACCCACATCTCGTTATTATTGATGATCTAATGAGAGAGTCCGATGTAACTTTAAACTCGTATTAGATTAAATAGAAGATTTATAAAGAAATAAAAAATAATATATTGCATACAATTTGTTTTATTTAATTTTATAACGTTTCACATAGTTACATACACACAAAATGCATTACACATAACTCATAAAATCTAACACACAACACATAACCTTAACTACTACATGTACTATGTAGTCTACAGTAACATTTCTGTTTTTATCTATCTCAATAATATTATCAAACTCAGCATAAACTATACAGTTAATTGTTTGTATTAGTGAGGATTCAAATCGTACTTCTAATCTTACACTACCATGCTTTATGAGATTCCAATGAGCTGATGAGTTGGCTGACAAATCAGGAGTTAAGTCAAATGCTAATAGACAGTAACCTTTGGCATACTGTTCACAAGAGATTCCATTTCCTTCATTCAGAAAGTGAATACTATTTCCCGAGAATAGAGTATGATATGCTGATGTAAATAAACTATTATTGAAAGATGGTTGCAAAGCTTTTGAAGATATTTGTTGACCATCAATATATAAGCTCAAAAAATTAATACCATAGTTTTCAAAGTTAAATGGATTTTTAGTAAGGGAACCATTAAATGCAGAATAGTTCACAAATCCAATTATACATCTTTTGGGTACCTGCCCTAAAAATATATTATCAAGAGTTTTTCCTTGAACACCCGATGGAATTGTTAAAACTTTTACTTCAGCTCGAGTAATAGGATATTTAGCAGTGGTAGAAGCTAAAACTTTTTGATGTGCGAGTAATACACTCGGATTAATTCGTGCTCGTCGAACAATAAGAGTTGCGTCTGTAATGCAAACTTTAAACTTTACGTCGTTTGACCCAGCAATTATATTAACTCTCTCTTGATCGAACCAATTTAACACTCATTTCAACACCATTAATTAAAAATTTATCTTGGTTGAAAATGTCACCGTGAAGATGACCAATCATTTCTATAATACTTTCACTAATCAATTCCTGTCTTTTAACAAATCCTATGTTTTTACCATCTGTACTGTACTCATACCAAAGACTACAAGTAATGATGAGATTGTTTAGCAGCGGGAGCATAGTTTAAAAGGGTTTCCATGTATGCTCGATATGCATAGGTATTATTAGGTGGTGATACAAGTTTTTGGTTTAAATAAACATCAAGTTGACTAAAAAGTGAAAACTGTTTGGACATTACTATGGCTAACTTCTACTGGTAATTCCATTCTTGGCCGTTTTTCTACAGGAACGGCAATATTATCAGCATCGTTTTAGATGTATCTGCATCAAATAGTGACATTATTTCTGTTTCAATCTTCTCTTTAACCACTTCATTAAAATTTTTTGTTTTATAGCGAGGATCTAGATATGTTGCTATTGCAAAGAAATTGTTTGATTGAAGGTCACCAAATTTGGAATTTAAATGATCGACGGTACATTTTATTATACTTTTAAATTTTTCATTTGTGTCTTGTTTACTGCCTTCAGTGTGTAATATATACTTTAGTGTATGTATAAGTGGAATTACTGATGAGATACTGGTGTTATTGTCCCTCATATTTCGGGTAATTTCTTCAAAAGGTTGAAGTATAGTCACTATTTTTTTAAGCTGCAGCCACTCTTCAGGAGACAACTGAGAGATGTTGTGTTTACACACGTACAGGCATAGAGAATCCTGTATTCTAATCATTCTTTCCAACATATAAAATGTACTGTTCAACCTGTAACAAATTAATAAAACTAATTAACGCTTATAATTTACACTAATTTACAGTATATCCTAAAGTATTATTTAAATTTAAATTAAATGAATGACAAAAACTAAATAATAACTCATTATAATCAGCGTGCATTATACCACAGCAAGTTTTAATAAAATCGATTTAATGGTTTTATTTGAATTTATAGAATTTTATTGTATTAGCGTGGATTTTTGATTGAAATGAAATAACCTGGAGGTAAAAATAAATGCACAAATTAATACAACTTACCGCGTACTACACTCCTGTATTACACTCAAACATTCTTGGTTGAGTTGTTCCTTTTGTATTTTATGCAGTTCAGTCTGAGCTATTTGGGAATGATTAAAATGCGTCGAATTTTTTTGCATTTTGATAATAAGGCTTTAATTTCCTTGTCACAATCCAACAATGTTTGCACACACAGTTGCAACTGATGTACGGTGCAACTGACATCAGATATGTCACCGAGTTTCATTGCTTGTTTCATATTAGATCCAGAGTCGCGTACTAAACAATGCATTTTCTCTTTTATGATGACCCATTCCATCAAAATACTCTTAATTTTTTCTAGAACTAGGTCTCCTGTATGTCTTCCATCAAATGTGTGGCATTTTAAAATTACTTTTAGCCTTTTAAAATCTCTAATTATCTATAACTATTCCATGCGCTGTCAGACTCAATAAAGACACATTCGAACTTGGTTCGGTCCAAATGTCTGTTGTAAATGAGATCTTTTCAAATTGTGTGAGCAAATCCTTAATTTTTCTTTTGCTAATGTTTAATATAAATGACCTCAAATATTTTCAGTAGAAAAGTCTTCCCCTTAAGTGATAATTCGGCACAGTGAACTGCACGAGTCGCCGAAATCCTATACCTTCCACAAAATTGAAGGGTAGGTCTTCCAAAGCAATCATTTCAGAAATCAATTTGTCAATTTCCATAGATTTAGCATTAGAAGTATCTACACCATTTTGTATTCTTTAGCAAAGTTTCTTTTAAAGTAAGTATTAATTCTTCATATTCAGTGACATGGACAGACTTCAAATGGCCTTCTAACGACGTTGTCGTACCTCCTTTTCTTGAATACGTCTTCATACACAGTTTACAATTTGCCGAATATAAATTAACTTCAATGAAGTAGTTCCAAATACAACTTGATTTAGGTTTCATTGTCCAACATAAAAACGGATCACTTTTATTGATAATAAGCCGCAAAAATCAAAACAAATATCTATAACCTATGAACGTGTCGTGTGCGTAACAAATTAACAATAACAAGTGAAATAATAATTGACGATAGAGTGCACGTAGTGAGAGTCGGGAGGATTCCCCGCGCGACATGTATGAACCTGTTCATAACAGTTGACACAAGCCGCCGCCGCCGCTATGTTATGCTTGGACCTCCGATTAAAACCTTCGACTTAAGTGTCGGAGCCGAAGTCGGAACCGAAGGTGTAATAATAATCGGAAGTTCCGTCTTAACGGAACCGGAGTCGAAGCTCCGCAACTTCTCTGGTGTTAGGTATAGATTTATTGAAAACTATTCAAAATTAAACGCAAACGTGTTATTTTTTTAAATTATTATTGAAAGTAAGAAACATAAAACTATGATCAGCTACTTAGCAGCAAATCAACTTCGCATAATAAATCTAATATCTCAACTCTGGCGCATTCTTAGCGCGTCATATCAAACCCCCATTGTGATAAGAGCGTAAGACTTCCTCTGTGCTTCACTTAGCCTACGCCTCCCCCGACACATAAAATATTTTGAGTCGATCTCTGTATATTTTGGTTAGATCGAATTCGAAATCGATACACAACGTGCGATACGGCTACATCTCTAAGAAAGTTTCAAAAAGGAAGGTCAGCTACGCCGTTGTCGTCCAGTCGTGACAGTGCCGTCATCACGATGAAGAGTAGTGTTGTGGTTTACTACTATTTTATTGTTATTGTTTGTTTTTATTTATGTACAAAGTACATATATAAAAAGAATGGAAGACAGCACAAGATTAAATAAAATATACCAGATTATAAAGAGTCATTTATTGCATAAAAACCAACAAAATCAAGTTATTTTGTGTTATCGATGTATCAACTCTTGGCAACACTATTTTTTTCGTAGGTATTTTTGTTTACTTTTCGCTTTGGCGTACAGAACACGGTAATGCGTTTTTGGCGTGGGGCTCAAAAGGTTAAGAATATTTCAACTTTCAAAAGCGAAAACAGACTTCATAAAACTAAAAAATATAAGTATCGAAATCGGTTGACATAGTAAAAAATTATTATTATATATACTTCTACAAATTTAACGAACTACGAACTCAATCATTTCTATTTTTAAACATGAATGGCACATGCTCAGGTTATTTCTATAATCTGAGGGCACATAGTTTATCACATCCATCCATTACAGCCTATGAAATTCCACTGCTGAACATAGGCCTCCCCCATAGATTGCCTCATAGGGGGGATTTTGCCATAGTTGCCACGCTTGGCAACCACAGTTTTTCATTATTTTAAGTTATCAGGAAGACGCTGCTGCTCATCTCCTGTTCCAGTTTCCTTCTGTCACCTCTTACGAAAACCACGGGATGATATGGGGTAGTGGATATACTCACACCGCCACTACACGCTCCATAATTAGGAATAAAATGAATTCCTTATACATAAATAAAATAAAAATAAAGTTATTGTTAACATTTCATTTATTTACAATTAATAAATAGTATTAAGACTATAGGGGTCGTAAGACATATTTTTTTACAAATGCGTTATAAATTCTTAAACACCTTCGCACTTCCGTGCTTGCTTATGCAATATCGTACAGTAGCATAAATTTTCATAAGTCGCCGGTCTACTGCTTTGAAATGTTCTTCTGTAGCCAATTTATTACCTTGGTACCCTGACAATAGCTTTATTGTTTCCGAGAGACTTCCACCAGAGACCATTTCTAGATTGTGCCACGTGGATGAAGATATTCTAAAAAATACAATATTTTAAACTAATCTCTCATTGTAGTTAAGGGGAAGTACTCCATAGTCACAAGTTTATGTTCAATAGTTTGAAAAATGGAGAATAGCGAGTTTCTCGCCATAATAAATTTCTTTACTAAACTGAAATGCAGCTGCACCTAGGTATGAACAGGCAATGTCAGAATATTCTGTTGTAGATTCAAAAGGTTGGCTTATATACCAATCCTATTGGATTAAAATACGAAATCATTGGTCATGATACGAGGGTGAAACTGAAAGTTCTTAGAAAATCAAAAACTGAATAAACTAGCAAGTTATTCGTTTTATTATATCTTTTCAAAATAGTGTCTATTTACATAAATACATCGCTGCATTTAATGGAACCACTGAGAAAAGCACTTTGCCAAGTCGTCCTTAGGGGTTCTTCGGGCACATTTTGAAACACTGCCACTGCTTCCTCGGCGTCCATAAAAGGTTTTCCTCGAATTTTTTCTTTTATTTTCGGAAATAAATAAAAATCGCAAGGTGCTAGGATACAGGGCGGGTGACCCACTAACTCCAAGTCTGACGTCGCCAAGAAGTCGATTGTTTGCTTGGCGGTGTGCGACGAGGCGTTGTCGTGGTGAAGGAGGAACCTATTGCGAGATCGTTTCTCCCGAACTTTTTCCAAGACAAGTGGCAACCAATTGTTATTGGTCCATTCTGCAGTAACTGCTTTTCGATCCTCTAAAACAATTGTTGCGCAATGACCTGCCCTTCCGAAGAACGAGGCCACCATCTTTTTTCCACACTTCGAACTCTCTTCACTTTAGTTGGCAACTCCTCGGAAGGACACATCCAGACAACAGACTGTCTCGTAATTTCAGGATCATAACAATAAATCCAGCTTTCGTCACCCGTAAATATATCGAACACAGCATTTGAGTCATCTCCGTTTAATCTTTGAACCATTTCACGACACCAATCAACACGACAGAGTTTTTGGTCCTCTATCAAATTATGAGGTATCCATCGGGCACAAAGCTTTCTGACCGCTAAATGTTCATGGAGAATTTTGTGCACTTGACTCATATCAATGCCACATCTGCTGATAAGTCAGTCTCTATCATACGCCGCACAACAATGAATGTTATCTTCAGCCGTCACTGTAGAAGGCCGTCCCTCACGCAGATCATCGGTGATATTAGTGCGACTACGTTTAAACTCATTAACCAGTTGTAAACAGTGGCACGAGATGGAGCTTCATTGTGAAAGGCCAATCGAAGTCTATCATAATTTTCTCGTTGACTTAAATGACATCGAGACATAAAAAATCATAGTACGAAAATTTTCTCGCGTTATAAATTCATGCTGACTTGACACAGACAATTTTAAATTTGCTGCCAAATCGTAAACAAACGACAAATTAATAAAATACTTACACAATAATATTGTCAAAGAGTCCATTTTCAGCATTTGAACTTATTTTTTTATTATATCATTTACAAGTGACCAGTTCTAAAAACTTTCAGTGTCGCGCGTATATGAGACCATATAATGTCGTGTAGTGGCGGTTGAGAATATCCACTACCCCTTATCTTTACGTGGGTGTGGTAAAAGGCGACAGAGGGAGACAGGCAGGAGATGGGCAGCATCATCTTCCTGATAACAGCAATTAAACAATAAAAAACTGCGGTTGCCAACGCGCTAACCAAGCGTGGCAACTATTTCAAACATCCGCCCATGAGCAACGACACAAACAAACGGCCCTTAGTACCCGGACTATTCATCGTCGGATTTATTGTCCACAAGTCTCTCGTCAACAACCTTGTAAGCCCAGAAAAACATGGCGGGCGTTGGCGTGGTTTAATGTCTGATTTAGAATGTAAATTTAAACACCAGAACCGATTAATATAGCACACCACAGCAAAACTAATTAAAGTAATGAAATTGTGGTTCTTAAGTTTTAGGAGTGTGTAAAAATTTGGGAATCTGAAAAATAATTGATGTTTAAAGGGGCGGTAAAAAAAATAAGCTTGATAATCTCTGGGTTAAAAGGCACATTGAACCTAAACGTTAAGTTGGAGAGGTCCCGTCTAATGAAGTCAACGCTCCGTCCCCCTCGTGGGCTAATACAGGGTCCCGAAAACATTCACCTCGAATTACAAAACCGTTTTCAGTGCCTAGAAGACTGCAATTCAGTGGACGATACGAATGACAAGCTTGTGAAAATTGTCTATGCGCCGCAGAAGAACACAAAAACTCACCGATCACACTCTTAATACTCTCATGGCCGTTAGACAGGAAAGGAAGCTGAAGTCTTCAGCAGATTTGACAGCATACAGGCTGTCAAATCTGCTGAAGTGACTCACTCTGAAGAGACAGATCTCCAAATACATGCGGCGGGACTCACGCAACTTCAATACAGTTAGTATTGTAGAACCGATTGAGCCAAGGCCAAGGCGAACCAGGGCTTCAGTCTTTGCAAGAGATCTGTCAGCCAGAAAGAGCCAACTGTCAAAGCCGAAGACCGCGTGTGGCAGCATCGTTTCCGAGACACCTGAGATTTTGAGTGAGATTGAGAGGTTCTATGAGCAGCTGTACACGTCTTCATTAGAGCCACACGCAATTGTGAGTAACGATCCAAGAGCAAGTCTTATCCGACACTATTCCGATGATATCCCGGACATCAGTCCGAGCGAGAATTAGAATAGCTCTCCAGCACCTCAAAAACGGCAAGACCCCGGCGAGGATGGAATTACAGCGGAGCTTCTGAAATCGGGTGGAAAACCAGTACTTGAAGCCCTTCAGAAGCTCTTTAATTCCGTTCCGTTCCGTTCTTTAATTCAGGGTGGCACTACTCAGTACGCGTGGAGCAGAAGTACGGTGGTCTTGTTCTTCAAGAAAGGTGACAACGCTCTCTTGAAGAACTATAAACCAATTTCCCTTCTGAGCCGCGTCTATGTGCTGTTTTCGAGAGTCATGACGACTCGTCTCGCACGCAGACTAGTCGACTTCCAGCCTCCTGAACAAGCTGGTTTCTGAAAGGGCTTTAGTACCATAGATCACATACTACATACCCTTCGGAAAATTGTACAGAAGACCGAAGAGTACAATCTTTCACTTTGCCTGGCGTATGTGGACTATGAGAAAGCCTTCGATTACGTCGAAATTAGGGCGGTGCTACAGTCCCTTCATTGGTGCCAAGTTGACTGTCGGTATATCGAAGTGCTGAAGTGTTTGTACAGTAGGGCTACGATGGCTATTCGAGTACAGAACCAGAGTACGAAACCTATCCAACTGCAGAGAGGTGTAAGATAGGGTGACGTTATATCCCCGAAACTCTTCACTGCTTAATTGAAAGACGTTTTCAAGCTACTGAAATGGAAAGGATACGTTATTAACATCAATGGCGTTTACATCACTCACCTTCGATTTGTTCTTATGGCAGAATCACTGAAGGACCTAAGCACTATGCTTAATGACCTCAATAGTGCCTCCCAACAGATAGGTCTTAAGACGAAGATGGACAAAACAAATCCATGTCAAGTCCATGTCACACCTATGGTGGTAGTTGTTGGGAGCACTAAGCTCGAAGTTGTTGACGAGTATGTTTACCTGGGACAAAAGTCCGACTAGATAAGTCCAACTTTGGTCGAGAGGTCAATCGATGGATACGACTCGGCTGGGCAGCGTTCGGGAAATTACGACACATCTTATAGTCAACCATACCCTAAAACCTGAAAACGAGACTGTACAATCAGTGCGTGTTGCCAGTGATGACTTATGGAATTGAGAGGTGTTCCTTCAATGCTGGCCGTATGAGAACGCTCAAGGTCGCTCGGCGAGCTATGGAGAGGGCTATGCTCTGGGTTTCTCTGCGTGATAAACTTAGAAATGAGGATATCCGCAGTAGAACCAGAGTGATGAACATAGCCCACAATGGATTAGTAAGCTGAAGTGGAAATGGGCCAGCCATATAGCTCGAAGAACCGTTAACCAAATGGGGAAAAAAGGTTCTTGAGTGGCAGCTTCATACCGGTAGGCGAAGTGAAGGGTGACCACTCACTAGATGGGGTGACAACCTAGTAAGACATGCAGGAAGTCGATGAATGCAGGTGGCCCAGGACCATGCTTTGTGGCATTCCTTGGGGGAGGCCTATGTTCAGCAGTGGACTTGTGAAGGGCTGTAATGATGATATGAGACCATCAAAATTTACAAAAAATTAAAAAATATTAAGTGACTATATTATTGTTAACATAATTCTTACATGCAGCATTGGTAGAGTGGTGCTAATATGTCTAATTCGTCTACCATGGGGTTTCCTAATCCTTTCCCATTATCTAGTAAAACTATTTGGTCTTTATAAACTTCATATCGATGTCTATCCCCATTTTGTATTAAAAAATCGAAAATAGCCACATCTATGAGATTAAGAATTCTTCTTAAACTTAAAGATCCACTCACTTTCCTGGAAAAAAAAAGAATTTTAGTCATTTCTACCGCCAACAACATTACTAAAATGAAATTCTATTCTGGCACTACACAATTGTTCAACCATTCAACTCTAAATGTTCCCTTGAATCGGTACTTCCGTATAAATGATTTAAAGAAAAACTTGAAGAAAATGATGATGATGGAAACTGTCACCGCACCGTTTAGACTGTTCCAATTTTTTGATCTATAGCAAGCATATTATTTTTCGCATTAAAATTATTTAAGCCGTCTATGAGATATTGCCGACTACGTAGGTCATTAAGACAACGCGCGGAAGCAATTATCTCAATGTGTTCCGCATTTCCCTCAGTTGTGCCTCAATTGGTCTTTGGAGTTCGCATAGGCTCGTTTAAGTGCGGGATTGTATGGTTGTGTAGTAGGTACCAGCACCAGATTAAGGAAAACCTATATAGTAGGTAGTGTATTGATAAGAAAAAGCATAACAATATAAAAACTTTAATACCGTAATATATGTACATTACTATAAAAAGAAATCTTTATCTCACTTCATCCACTTTCCTTGTGGAAGAAATTTACATTAGCATTAGGAACTTGAAGTAAGTGCAGCATAGAATATTTCAAAATCAAAATGACTTTAAAAAATGTTTTGTTACAAATAAATAAAAATTAAGTAATATAAATATATTAGTGAGGATGTGTGCTTCACATGCTTGTACAATGCATTCCAAGAAAAAATAGCTGCAGAGCCGTGAGTCAGAAATATATTATCAAAAGAATTAGTTACATACTCATGCACTCTATTGTAAAATTTATAACAGTAGCATCATACTCACTTACAAAAATCATTATCTTTTTCCCATTCCATTTTCTTACTAGTATAGGAGCGACGCCATGGAGATCTATAAACTTTGAACTGTTTATCTAGGTACAATATAGCAGCGCCTTCAATTTCACCATTCTTATCAGGGCATACAGTTTCGTTTCTTTTACAATAAAAACATTTACCGTAAATACATAATGATCCCCTACCTAAAATGGTGTTAATGACATAATTTACTGCTTATATGACTGTCTTGTTGGTCTAATGGCTGGTAAAACGCAAATACTGATCATGGGCAAATATGACAAGGATCTATATTCAATAGTGGCACTTTTGGTCGGGTAATAAAAATAAAAGATAACAATGCAAGTCGATGACTTTTGGAGATTTTATCGTTACATTAATAATGGCTAAGCAGTGCTATGATAATCTGTGACAAATATGGGTATAATAAGCATTTCGTATACTAGACCATCTAGTCGAATCTAGGAATATCTGGCGACGGAGAGCAATGTCACACTATTGAGCCCGATAATCCACCTGCTAGACGTGTCGGCTACGATAAACCTATGCAAACAGTGTGCTGGTTAACCTGTAAGCTTAGGCCTGTTCTAAGTTGGTATATTTGATCATTCACAATCTGTTTTAACAGTAAAAGAGTGTAAGGTTAATGCAGGAAGAGGTATTATTTATAAGAATATGCAGCACTCACCAGTCTTGTGAGTTTTTCTAATGCAACAATTATAAAATTAGCAAAAGGGTGAAAGAAGACCATTACAGTCTTGGCTTACAAAATTAGGAGGAGTTACCATAACTAAGCTACAGGTTTACAGTCCCGAATTCATGGAAGATAGCTTTGGTCCACCTGGTCCCTAAAAAAGCGATTGCTCAGACCTGTCTAACTATCGTCATCATCTCATTGTTCTCCAAAATAATGGAGTACGTTATAAACTGTCAGCTCATGAGTTACATTTACCTACTACCTACTTAGTACTACCTAGTACCTACTTTTACGGACTGGTGAAGTGATCAACACTACTAGTCCATATAATGAGGGTATTGGCTTTGCGCTCACAACTCAACTGCCCAGCACGGCACATCGGAAAATGGAATTAGTCAACTGGCACATTCTTAGTATGGATGGCCTTTTGATGATAAGCCTCAAATTAGTTGTAACCCAATTGATTGAATTGATAACAAAATTGTTATGGCTAATATTTATCTGTTATGTATTTTTACAAAGCAGGTAACAAGACCATGCTGAATAATTATCGATCCATCTTTTTCTGTTTATTTAGGCAGTTAAAGATCACAAATTAAAATATAATTTCTAAATCACTAATTAGATAACAAATCTATATATAGACACCTTTTTAAGACATTGACTTGTATTTGAAATACTGCATTAAATGCAAGATATCTGGATTTCAAATCAGCCAGTAACAAATAAATGAAAATTGGTCTGGTAAGGACTTAAAACACTTAGCATTAATAATAAATTGCAACATAAATATAATTACCGTTTTTAACCATAGTCTTCTTAAGTCCCAATGCTGCCTTTGGTATAATATCTGTGTCAATATTAATCTTTCTTATGACAGAGGGAGCAATCCATTTGAGGTCAAGCACCATAGCTAGATAATAAGCAAAAACTTCAGAGTTATGTCGATCAAAACCTGCATATATATTGCCCCTTATGACATCATCTAGGTTATATCTTTTTGGTTTGAAGTAAAGTTTTTGCTTTCCCTTTAAAGTGAATTATAGGTCAAAATATATATTACATGAACTAAATATATTATTTTGCAGACTGGCTTTTTTGTTTGTTGTGAAATACTAATTAAAATATCGTATTTTTATTTTACAAAAAATAAATAGAAATTATAACTATAAATAAATAATATAATAAATGAATAAAAAAATACAAAAGACAAAAATCTCATTTAAAATTAATGCATCATTAAAAGAAATCCTCGTAGAAACATAAAGTTTCTTTAAACATAAAATAAAAATCCAAATTTTATACCTCTAATAATAATAACAGTTTTAGCTGTGTTCCTTTTGGAGCGTTATCAACATGTGCTATCTGTGTATTTTGTATTGCATGCAAAATTTGTCCAGGCACACCGTTTGTGTGTGGAAATAAAGATTCATCACTGATCCACTGAAATGTAATGTGTACACAGTTAGAACATCTTATGTTTTTAGAGAAAAGAAATTATGAAAATAAATATTTTCTTTTTTAACAAAATTCTAGACTCTAATCTGTAAGAAAAGATGTCATCACAATATATCTTAAGGAACATTATATATTATCTAATAATGAGGATTAAGTAATACTTACATTTTCTGTTTCATGCCAAACATTTTTTAAATTTATGACAGCACTTGAATTAAATAAGCTTATAAGATTTTTTTGTTTCTCTATAAATTTTGAATTTTTTGTTTTATACTGAGGTGGTAAATAATTAAAATAAGTATAAATATCTTTAAATACATTTGGTGCTAAATCTAATTTTATGTTGGGCACTAAGTAATGGGTGGCCTTTTTACCAATGGTATTCAGTGTGTAAAAAAAGTAAATATTAAGAGCTACAAGCACTAGAAGAAATAATGAAAAACCAAAGGCATAGTTAAGTGACATTATGTGGGCTCACATAATTATTACTTTCCTCTTTGTCGTGAATTCGCTTAGGGCTAAATTTCATGTTTAAAAATAAATAAGATTTAAGTTAACACATTCTGTAAGAGCAAGAGTGATCAATACAATTGTAATCCCATAAATTATTATGGCAGTTCTTTTAATTTCGCTCCTCTACAGCTGTAAAGTGCAAAATCGCTAATCGGATACAACGAAATAATACAGTAAAATCCAATGCAAGTTTCATTGAGGTTTTGCTTACTAGCAATTTACATAAAATATTAATGACAAAATACGAATACGAATTCTTGTACATACAACTTTATAATTTGAGACCATAGAAACATAGATTACTGTATATATACTAGTTTGAGACCACAAAGCTAGGAGTGTGCGATACAAATCGTATCGTAGATACAATATCTATATATCAGTACAATATTCAACATCTATATATCGGACGACAAACCAACTATATATTAGATATTGCGATATCGCTGCCGCTGCAATACAGCTAGCGGTGTCTGAATCGCAGAATATCTAATATCTACTCGAAACGAAAACGTTAAATATCTAAATATATACATTGATTCGAATACCGAACAAACAGTGAGTGCGATAGAATAAAAGGTGATACGCTTACGCCTAATATTATTAATATTAATCCTTATTAGTAGTAACATACGATTTATACAGAACGCATCATTTTTAATATCCAGTCTAAGTGGTATTTTATTAATATTTTGTTGTGTTGCAATGTTTTCGAAATAAACGACTTTAGATCTTTTTGTGTATTTTAATAGAATGTTATTTTTAATCCAATTAATTTTAAATATAACACGACCTGAAATTTAAGTTGAAACCGACATTGAAACATTGAGGTACCTGTTTGATATTGTGCTTTGGGTTTCAACAACAACAGCTTTAAAATTTTTAAATTTTATTTTCAGTTTCGTTCATATGCATCGTGAATTACATCGCGTAATTTGAATGCAGATGACATATTTTATGTAATTTCTCTGCTCAATTTCGTTTGTAATTCGGTTTCGAATTTTTGTTTTTAATTTGATAATTTTTTTGTTTTATGATAGTTTTTTAAGTTTGAACTGTTTTTGTGTATAAAAAGAATAAACATTATATAGATGCGTAGATATTAGGTAGATACTGTACATTTTTTAAACAAATTAATTCAAGTTTAGTGTTTGACATTGTGTAGAACCAATTAAACCTATTATGTATAACAATGTCCCGTCCACTTACACGCATAATATGGGACTATTTTGAGAAGTTAAGTGTAATAAATACAAAATGTATTCTTTGGAGTAAACGAGTAAAATAATACTTTGTAATAGCGTCATCTACTTCATTTTATACGTAAAATGATTTTATCGTAGAAAAATTGATTAACTCTCAAGGTGGTACGCACAAAATACGCTAGATGGCATAAACACGACACGATTTAATTTAATATAACGAAATCATCAACAAATATATAGATATTAAAATATATAGATACAATATCAGATATTCGTTTCCAATACATAGGTACGATTTCTTCTTCTTCTTCTTTTAAATTATGGCTTCTCTTGGTAGAATTCTGCCAGTGTCAAGTCAGTCATGGAAGTCACAAGATAATAATAGTTAAGAGTTCTCAATTTAATGAGTGGGTTCACAATCTACAACAAAAGACGTCACATATTTAAACTACCATCACCAAAGTTGTTAAGTAATTTTACAGTTTAATATTATTAGTACGAATAAAAGCACATAAAATATTTGCGAAGGGAGTATACACTAGGGTTAGCAAAAATTGGAAGTTTACTGGACGAGGGATGTAATTGTGCAGGATATCGTAGAGAGAGAAAGAAAGTTTAGGACACTCAAGAACAGATGATTGACAGATCCTTCATCTAGGCCACATTCACAGATTGAGCTATCCCTAATCCTGAGTTTGGCCATGTGGACAGTAGTACAAGCAGAAAAGTAGGCGCCAAAAGCTTTACTAAAGTGGCGATATTGAAAGAACCAGGGTTTTGATGGGATATTAATTTGGACTTTGGAATATTGATTACATTTTAAAAATTTAGACTGATGCCAATAACTTTGCCAAGAAGACAGAAGGCCGGAGTTGGCCTTTGGCAGGAGGTCATGTGCATAGAGGCATTGTCTAGGGATAGAGCCAGATTTTGTGGCATCTTTAGCTAAATTATCAGCAATTTCATTGCCCTGAATCCCGCAGTGGCTAGGGATCCAAGCAAATACAATGTTCAGCCCTTTTTTATGACAATAGTGCAGAGACTTTCTGATATTTAAAATTAGCGGGTATCTAATCTTAGAGTGAAAAGGACTGGATAAAATACTTTGAAGGCAACTAAAGGTAGGTACGATTTGATATAGGCTAAAAGTGATATTACCCACCTCTACCACAAACTAACTAGATACACCCGTTTTGTGACACTCAAACGTCAGTTTCTCTATCTTGTCCATAGATTACTGTGTATATACATCTAGTCTGTGGTGACAATTTGTGATCTAAACGTAGACAGAGAATCCTAGGATTCTCTGACTACCGTAGTATCCTCTTAGTAGTTTGTGCTGTTTTTTTATTTAATTATCTTTACGGCTCTGGGTTCGAGTCCTTCTCAGCCTATCATTTCTTTCAGATTCTTCATTTTATATATTTTGTCTTCACAATATGCTGATGCGTCATATTGCGAAGTTTTTGAGAGATTTCGACGACAGACAACCAAGCGGACAGTTGATGACGACAGCCACTCATGTTTATAAGGCACCCAAGCGATTAAATCAACTTGAGGTTTATATCAACATCAAAGCACTTGTCTCGTCTTCTTCTCTAATAATTCACACGTGCAAATACTTAATTCACAAAATCGCATCACTTTTTACGAATCAAAATCCACTTTAAACCATTATTCAAGTGACAAAACAGGAGCGACAATCCGTCGACGGCCAAGTTCCCGCCAAAACTCTCTTAAAGTTGATTTTTTTATTTAAATGGCTTTACGGCTCTGCATACCCCTTCTGAGCCTATCATTTCTTTCAGAATCTTAATTTTATATATTTTTTCTTCACAATATGCTGATGCGTTACATTGCGCAGTTTTTGGGAGATTTTGACGACAGCTCAACCCAGCGGACTGGTAACGATGGCAGCCACTCAAGTTCATAAGGCACCCAACCGATTAAATTAACTTGAGGTTTATATCAACATCAAAGCACTTGGTTCGTCGTTTTATCTAATAATGCACACGCGCAGACACTTGACTCACAAAATAACCTCACTTTTACGAATTAAAATTCACTTCAAACCATTATTCAAGCGACAAAACAGGAGCGACAGAAAATCCAAACTAAAAGAAACCTATAAAACCTTTCCAAAAAAAAGATAGATTTATACATACGTCTTAAAACTTGTTTCCCTTTCTTCCTTTTTTGTTCAAACTACACTTTGCTAAACAACTTTGACAGTTCGTAGCGATCTAAGGAGTTTACAAGTTGGTTTAAGTGAGAAAAAAGTATTTTGTGAGCTTAAGATTGGTGAATCTTGTTCAGTTCAGTTCTTAGAACAATTAAAATTTTTATCTAAATATGTTTAAAAGTCATAAAGATTATTGCATAACCTAAAACTCCGTTATCGTTCTTTCTCACTTGAGGCCACACTAATCATTAGTCCATAGGTTTCTCTGTCTACGCTCTTAAAGTTGACAATAGACTAGACCATATATTACTGCATAAGCTTTGAGTATTAAACCAAAGGAGACGGCATCGCAAGGCATACCCCTCTGTAAAAGGTACGAGAGTTCGACTCATACCCGTTATATAAAACTAGTTGCTCGGCGTCGTGCGTCATTCCGAAGTGATCGTGCCAGTAAATAGAGCTCCGACAAAATGCCGAATTGCAGTGTATTTACATTAAAAAAAAAAAACAATCAAAAAACGTCAAGTATACAAAAGGACAATGTGACTTTTCATCTGTGAGTATTTTTAACATAATATTAAAGTAATTTTATCATTAACACTCGTACTTTGTGAATATTATCGTCCAATACCGAGTGTAGCCATCATAGTTCATAAAGTGAAAAATAATCTATTTTTAAATAAATATAATTTACTACAAAAGTTATATATATTAACGAAAATATATTTCCTAATAACTGATTCAGTTTATGATGAATAGTAATCATTATATATAGATGTGTAGTGGATTTTGTTAAATGATTTATATATTCAGCTCAATTTCAACACGATACTGAATATTATATAATTAAATGTAATCGATAACTAGTATTTATTAAAATATTATACAAAATACAGGCCAAATAAGTCAAATCGAAACTTGCTACCTCGCAGCAAAATTGTGCAATTTTTATAAAAATGAACTGGTATCACTGCAACCGAAAGTATTGCACTATAGTGATGCACGCCACAACTTTAGCTATCGATAAGTTAATTAACAACCATGCGGGTTTGTCTGCCGAACAGGTTTGTAGTTTTTATTTAGATTTTATAATAAAGTATTACAAAACGTAGTAAATTTTCTATTATTGGTTTGTTTTTACAGATTTCAAAGAGATCCTCTTAGGCGGAAAACTTGGATTGTAGCTTGTAGAAACCTTGAATCTTGGATACCTAAACGGACTAGCACCCTTTGCTCCAAACATTTTGGAAAATCATATTTCATACCCCAAGCTTACAATAAAAGAAGGTTAGCTGACACTACAGTACCAACCTTGAACTTGTGGGAGGTAATGTTTGGCTGTAATTATATTTAGATTAAATATTCTTATTATTACCTTTGACACCAATATTATTCTACTTGAAAATATTTTATTAAGTTTACAAAAGCATTAACCTATCAAATTTAATTCATATATTTATATACCTATTATTGTAATAATTAATGTAGTATAGTTTTTGTACGCCATAAATGGAAAAACATGTAGCTTGTTTTAAGTTTTTAACACTTGTATTTTATTTACTCATGTTTTACAAAATAAATATCTTTATCATATATATATATATATATATATATATATATATATATATATATATATATATATATATATATATATATATATATATATAATAAATTATTTATTTTAGGGTGATCGTGGTGATTGCACAATATCGTCTACATCGAAAAAAGAAAGCTGGATGTTCCGGCAAAATTCCATAAGTTATCTCGAAAGTCACAATTCGATAACAATACAATAGCATAAACAGGCTTCACAAGTTTACAAGAAATACTATGACCTAAGACTTAACTATTACTCACCAAAAGCCTATAGCTATGTACGTAAAACTTTTGGGACATATTTGCCTGCACCACGTACATTGACTAAGTGGTACACTACCATCGATCGCTGACCAGGTTTACTCAAGAAGCGCTGACGGCATTAAAATTGAGAGCGGAGAGTAACCCTTATAATTTTTTTTATTGTACCTTGGTAATGGATGAAATGAAAATTAAGCAATTGACAGAATACCATGCTAGCAGCTAAAGGCATTATGTATATGACCAAAATGTCTTTTAAACTTGCATGGTACTCCGTCAATTTTGTTATTTTCATTTAATCTATCACTAATATACAATATAATTTCTTGTCAGGGTTACTCTCTAGTCTAAGTTTTAAAACAGTTAACGCTTTTTTTGTTTAGCCAATTCGGCCATCAATTGTACTATACAACTTTGTTATAGTATGTGATGAAGGCAAACCAATTTCAAAACTTTTAATATTTCGCACATATCGTTAAGGTTTCGGTGAATAGTAATGTAAAGTTAAAACAAAACATCTTTCTGGGGAATACTTAGCCCTAGGTAGACGTCACGTTTTATTCTTAAGCAGCTGTCTGCTTAAAGTTCACTTTGTTAAACCATTATATAGTGTAAAACTTTTTGTTTTCCTAATTTATTAAATATTTTCCAGATAGTTCATTTAATAACTCTTGAAAATCAACAACTTTTTTTTAAAATAGCGGTTTTGTGATTGAAGTCTTATAATAAAAACAAAAACTTGGTTAACACTATCTAAGACGATGACTTTTCTTTTCACAAATCTGATTTTTAAAATAAGTTAGCTAAACCTCCTATTTCGATTTGTTATATGTTTTAAATTTTATTCTGCATAATGTAAAATAAACCTGTAGCAAAATAATAAACTTATTTTCAATAATTTCCAAGTTCTTTTCCGAAGATCATTTCTAAATACTTTAGAAAAAGAATTTTAAATAACACCTTGATATTATTTATCTATGTATTACTTATAATCAAATAAAAACTTATGCGGACTATGGTGATTTGTTTATCGATAAAAAAATCACATATCCACCTTACGTTGCTTACGCATTTAGACAGCGCCATCAGTGTATCGACACGTGTACAATTTGATGGTATGCGTAAACGCGATGCACACAAACAAAAAATGAAGTGCCCGTTCACTCGGCTACGGGTCTGATCAGATCATACAATACGTCGGCTCTAGTACGGGTCGGATTAGATCAGAAGTACTGCCCTATGAACTATTTTTTTTAAACTATTTTTTCGTTTTAAACAAAACCAAAGACAATATGCAATAGATAATAGTATCAAAGACAAAGATATGCTCTTTTATTTTAAACCATAACCTGGCAATGTTTCTTAGGAAAAAAAAAATCACTCTGAACTTTCGGCGTTCCGCGTGTCGCTTTGATGAAGGTGCTCCGTCTTTTTTATAGAATTTTGTATTTGTGTCTGGACTAAAAACGAAACTATTATACTTTTTTATATTCCTTGTAATATAGTAAACGCGTAGATATATAATTTGTGGTATAAAAAGTGAAAAGTAAATTGCCAAAAGTACTTCAAAATCCGGAAGGCCCATTTTGGCGGTTGGGTCATAAATGTGTTATTTTTCAAATTCTCATTTATTTTTAGTGTAAAATGTAAGTAAAAATAGTTTTCTTACATATTTCAAATAACTTGAAGAAAACAAAACTATTTTTGAAATATTGTTCGAAATGTCATACAGATAAAATATTTTTTTTTAAATTTTTCAATATTTTAATATTTTGGTATGAGTAACGAATAGAAACACATAAAACATAAAAATATACATATTTCCAAACATTTTCATATAAATTTCTCCAAAAACAAAAGTGTAGAATTCAAATTAGTAGTAATTTTGTAACTAAAATTGAAGTATATACTACTACTATGCTATACAGGGTGATTTATGTATTTTATTACAATTTCTAGCAACCAAAAATAATTTTATTCGATAGTTTATACATTCAACAAGAATTCCTGTAAGTTTTATCCATAAATATTGTCTCAAAGTGAAAATATAGGAAAATTTGCAATATAGCAAAAAATTTTCTAACTCTGACTCTGACGCGCTGTCAGAGCTTACCTAATAGTGACGCTATTTAATTTTGCATTTGTAGTTAAGTATACAGTTGTGTGTTTTTCTTGCGCCCCCCCCCCCCCCTGATGTTGACAGAATTTTGTTTAGGAATTAACGCGCATGGCTTCTCCAGTTGGTTGAATACTCAAAGTGCATAAGAGACTAGACCATAGATAAATAAATCATAGATAAAAGATAAATGGATATGTAGCAATCTAAAATATTGTCCGTTAATCGCATGAAGGTTAGAGAACAGGAGAACGATCACTACGTACTAGAGCTTAGCCCGCCTGTCCTTGAAAATTGTAGAATATATAGCGGTGCTGACGTCGGTGAGTGGTGACTGCGAAGTTAGCTGTTTATGAGTACAAGTAGATGAAGTTAGTTGAATAATGTACAAACTTTCATTTCATTTTTAATGAGAAAATTTTTATGCTCCGTAATTTTGTAATTTTTGATAAAAAGAAACATTAAAAAACGGGGAAATATTTTATAGTGCGTGTATGTGCAAGTGGTTTAGCATATGATCGGAAAAATAGACTGAAAATGACTTTTATTGACCGAACTTAGTGATCGCAGCGCCTCACTTATGGTGTCCATATTTCTGGGAACTATTTTCAACGGCAATCGTTCTCCTGTTCTCTAACCTTCATGGTTAATCGTAACTTGACGCGTAATCCGATTGACAGCACTGTGATTTACAGTGTTGCGTGTTTCAATGTGTATAGCGTTCCCGAAATGTAGGGACAGGCATTCTGAAACGGGATATAAAAGCATGTATGTACATGTATCTCAAATACAAGGTTGCGTGTTCAAACCTGGCATCTAGAGTCAAACGCACTTAGCGCTAACAGTTAAGCTTTAAAAACGTCTTTATTTTGTATGAATAAGGGCATTCATTTCGTAATTCAACTGTTACTACTGAGGTGCTGATGACTATACTTATGTGACTTAAGTGTCATAGTGTACTCTCTGAAACAATTTATATATCAATAGGAACATTCAGAATAAATAAATTAAGACAGGGTTAAAAATAATCACTTTATATAATTATGATTAATAAGGTGTAAAGCGATCATATGTTTTCCAATGTTACTTGAATGCTCACTGTCACTATCACTGCTAACCCACAATAAAAAGCGATCACTTCCTTCATTTATTATTTTATCTTTCACTGTGTACTCATCTTCAATTTGTATAACATGTGAGCACTCTTTTTTCCAAACGTCATAGCTTATTGAACCAAAATTTCTTTTAGAAATGATTCCACTTGATCATCTCTCTGGCCCACATTTTTCTTTGCGAACCGCCTCTTCACAACACTCCATATTAGCTCAATTGGATTTAAATCAGCATGATATGGGGGCAGCCGCAAAACATTATGACCATGTGATTTTATTAATTCGTCAGCTTTATATATGAGCTCTAGTTAATTTTTTTTATAAATTCGTATAAAACATTTTTCGGCAAATTTGGTGAAAAGAACAGTCCCTTGTTTTGAAGCCACTCTACCATATCTACTTCGAGGCTTACCATATTAGGGCTTTTATTTATTTGTACAGTATGATATTATGCATTGTCCATCACAATCACACAAGGTGGCAGGTTTGGCAAAACTTGTTTTTCCAGCGAATTTATAATGTTATCGCTAACCATGTCGTCATGTTAGTCGGATGATTTTGTGTGTGACTTGAATAGCAGTAACGCATTATTAATGAAGCTGTCTGTAGTTCCAACGTGTGTAATTATCCATCCCCTACTCTTAAATGAATCTCTGACCATTACACCTTCAGAATCTGACTGCCGACAGTTTTGCACCCCATGTGATGTATGAATAAATGTTTCATCTAAGTAGACAATAGTCCGTCCCCCTTCTCGGTATTTTTCAATTTCATTCAAGTAATTGAATCGCCAGGCAGCTATATTTGTTCGTTCCACAACCATTTTTCGTTTTTAATTAACCCTTTTTCTGTTTATATCCAAGTCGTTTTAATATTTCCATAGTGTAGTAGTTTATTTGTTTTTGCAAAGAAACGTGAATAAAATGAACAACATAAGAAATTGCCTTTATTACAACGAATATTCGACTTTATCACCCTAATCTAAGGTTCATCTGTCAATGCGTTATTAATAAAAATTGTTGCGATATTCAAACCGATAAAATTTTATCTCAGTCCTATTTCTTCAATAACATATTAATAGAAATGTGCAAATACTAAATTTTTACTGTCACCTTATTAATGAATATTTATATTAAGGTTGTTAACCAGAGAAGTAAGTTAGTAGCTTAGTATTACTCATGGCTTTTGGAATGAACCTGAAAATAAAAGTGATATCCTCATGCAAATCACGCATTATGATCAAAAAGTTATTATTTACAATGAGAACAACCATTGTAAATAATAAATAAGAGATTGTATTCCAAATAATGAATAAGATAATTATGTGTTTTCAGGTTACCTAAAAATGGCTCGATCAAGGAAACCTGGGTTAAGGTAACTGGCAGGAAAACTGGTTGCCAACAAAAAGTAGGATCATATGCTAGAAGCACTTCACTGAAAGTGAAATTTCTTAATATCGAAACGAGGATACCACTATTTAAAAACTTCGTTAGTACCAACAAAAAAAGATTTTGTCTTATATTGAAGTAAATTAATCTAGACTATTTTGGTTCATATATTCAGTAATAATAAGTTATGAGAGCTTAATTTAAGAAAGTTTAAAAGAAAACTTCAATGTAGCGGTTTTATTTTTATTTTGTTTTCGGTAAAATGTTATTTAGTTCACACTGATTGCTTTCTGTTTCAGAATAAACATTTCACTGTCACAACATTGGTTGGGCCTTCGAAGAGACAAAATGAATTGGATAATTTAGATTCTCAGCCCATAAAGAAAGCTCGTACTCAAAATGATAATAACAATCACGGCAGTAAAGTAATTAAAGATATACCTCATAATATTAAACCAATTGCAGAAAGTGTAGCAGAAACGAAACTGAAGCACATGTTTTCGCAAAACGCGGACAGTGAAATGCTATATGAACTGCGTAACCCTAAAAACTCATCGAATAGTTAAAACAGTTGGATACAACAAAGGCGAGAAATGTTCAATGTGTTCAACGACAAGAAAGCAAAAATTGAGACGCATGATAAGATGATCCGAAGAAAGAAATAAATAACAGAACTTAAAGATATAGCGGCTGCAAAGTCAAAACCGACGATTAACGAAGAAAATAACAAGCATTGATAAACCATTAGAAGCATTACATAACAATTTTGCCATCGAGAAGGAAAACCTAGCCAACAACAAAAAGTTGTATTATAAACTATGACTAGCTGATACTTAGTTTTATAAATAGATAATAAATAGGAATAGATAATAATGTCGGTTATTGTTACAGATTTAAGAATTAATTGCTCGAGAAGTTAAAAATGCTGACTGAAGTTGTTTCAAGACAACAATATTCTGCAGCTCTCCGCAGCTTCGCTCTAACCTTGCTTGACATGGGAACGGGTTTAGAAGGTGATCACTTTGCAGAGGCAAAAGAAGATTTAGTATTTTTGGTTAATGCTATTAATAGTCATTTTAAAATACCTGTCACCTTCTTTTTTGTGGATAGTATTACAGGACAGCAGCGTACCGCTCTGGTAAAATAGTGCCTTGAGCTAACTCATGATGTTGGTGTTAGAATAATGGCATTAATGTTGAATTCGATGGTTGCGTTGCAAATATTTCTATGGCAGAACATCTTGGTTGCTCATTTGAAAAACAAGATATCAAATTTGATTATCTTATTATCAAAGATCCGATAGTGGCAGTTCTCGACCCCTGCCATATGATTAAATTATTGTGAAACGCATTTGAACACAATAAAATTTTGATAGACATAGATGGCAACAAAATTCACTGGCAACATCTCGTTCAGCTTAATAATCTTCAATATATAGAAACATTTCATTTACAATTCATTTATAATTTATAAACTAAAAAACCAGCATATCAACTTTCAAAAGGAGCGAATGAAAGTCAAGCTTGTTAATCAGCTTTTCAGCTTACGTGTTGCAGAGGCCCTAAAATATTGTAGAAATTCTGAGATGGAATTGTTCAGTGATAGCAAACCCACTGAACAGTTTCTAATTGTTTGTAATAATATTTTCGACATTTTCAATTATAGAAATTTACATTTTTATGGTTATAAAAAAGCATTGAATGAGGATAACGCATCAAAAATATTAACATTTTTAAATTACGCTTCATATTACATCCGAAACCTAAAAACGGAAATTGGTAAATTAATAATAAAGAGTCCACGTAAAACTGGGTTTTTGGGTTTTCTGAGCTGTATCGAAGCATTAAAACATTTATATACAAACTTAATTAAGCCCAAAATACTTATATAACCATTTTATAAATTAAGTCAGGACCATCTTGAACTTTTTTCTGCAACATAAGATTACAAGGCGGGACAAACAATAACCCTACAGTGAGGCAGTTCATATCTGCTTATAAAAAATACTGACACACGAACAATTAGTAGACAGAAATAAAGGTACCGTCAACTAAGGCATCTTTACCTTCCCTTGTCATCTTTACCTACCACTGACAAGTAATAAGAAAAATCATTTTTATCAGAAACTACTAATGGTAGATATTTCATAGACACATTAGTAGTTTCGTATTGAGCCAATGGTCACACATTTTTTTTAATACTGGCAGCACTGTCAAATGGCAAGTTATAAACGTATGGAGTGTAAAAGTAAGGAGTACCAACTGCCGTAGTAGAATAGTTGAAAAAGTGGTCATCTGTAAGCAGTAAATAACAGTTCAAAAACTCTCCACAACAGCGCTGGAGTAGCTACTGGGATAAAATGAACTTAGCAGTTTCAACGGTTTGAAGTGTGCTGCTAAACTGCTCAGTAGGTCTATTATCTAAAATAATTTTATTTAGTAAATATAACCCCGAAAAAGTCGTCTATCCCACTAATATTTTTCGGTGCGTTCTTTAAAATTTACCCCGTAGCTATTCTTACTTCTACACTCCGTATATAAACGTTTGTTGATACTCGCGGGACACTTGTCGCAGCAGATTCTGTTCGAAATTTTAATTGTGCTTGTGAATTCACTTAGCTGAGGTAAATATAATTGATACATATTATATATAACCTTCCTAAGAAGACATGGAAACTGTTATAATGGCAATTTCTTAACAATTTGAAGAGAAATTTGCATAGGTAATGATAGTTGAGGCTAGGTAAATTTGCCACAGTTTGTACAGTGGCGTTGTGGCGTAACTCACTTCACTTAGACCTACGCAAATCCGCTACGTGCATGAAGATTAAGCCACACGCTTATATCACGCCACAACCAGGGAACAATGCAATTCATCGATAAGATAGGACACCGCGCCTTCAACGCAAAGCGAGAATGTGCGACGTTCATTCCGCCTGCAACCCGCATAGTAACAGGACGCGACGCGCTACTTATATCAATTAACTTACATTGTTCTCCTAGTTAATTTCATCTTGTAAAATTGTTTGTAGTAAAAGTGTTTGTTACATGGAAATAACATTACTTCATTCGAGTCAGTTAATTCTTATTCCTGCCCTTCATTAGTATTCGATTATTTACCATATAACGTATTCAAACACAATATTGGGTGTGGTTCGGTCCCACATTTGAATAAAACGTTGGGGCGTGGCCCCACAAATGGTGACCCGTCGACAAAGCCGAAATAACGGTAAATTGAGCTACACATCGTACGGCATCAACGATTTAGCTTCAAAACAACGTGGTGATAACAAAGGATAGGGTGTGGTCCAAGTCAACAAGGTGAGCTTATCATTATTTTTTTATTTTGATATTGTGCTATGATGGATGAACCGAGTGTAGTCAACGTCACCGATCAGAAAGATTTGACTCCCGCAGAAATTTTGAGAGTTGGTGTTAGAGTACCCCAATTCCCGGCCGATAAGCCTGTCTTATGGTTCGCGCAAATTGAAGGCCAGTTCCTATTGTCCAGGATCACGAATGACGAGACAAAATTCTTTTACGTAGCCGCGCAACTAGAACCTCCATACGCTAGGGAAGTTAAGGATATTATTACTAACCCACCTAGAACCGATAAGTACCTAACATTGAAAACGGAACTAATACGTCTTTCAGTATCGCAAGAGAAGCGCCTTCAGCAATTGTTCAACCACGAAGAGCTTGAAGATCGGAAACCATCGCAGTTTTTATGCCACCTGCAGAACCTAGCCGGAGCATCTGCAGAATCAGACGTCATTAAAACATTACGGTCTAGTCGTTTACCCATTAATGTACAAACTGTGATTGCTTCTCAGATAACAGTGAGCCCTCAAGTTGCCAGCACCTCTACTAGAACGCCGGAAAACCGTGACACTATGGCCAGGCAGATAAGTGACCTAACGAGGCAAGTAGCACTTCTCACTACTCAACTTAACAGGCAACAACGTTCTCGCTCACACTCAAGATCGCGATCCAACTCAAAGAAGCACATACAAGGCGGAAAACTTACAGGGGTGTCGCAAGTAGTGGCCAGCGGCTACCCCTCTTCAACAGGCCCTCTATTCATCTCTGATCGGACATCAAAAATGCAGTTCCTCGTGAACACTGGTTCAGACCTGTGTGTTTTTCCCCGGTCAGCAGTCAAGACGCCCTGCTATAAATACAGGTATGACCTCATAGCTGCTAACAACACAGTCATACACACCTACGGACCGATAACGCTACACCTCAATCTAGGATTGAGACGGATTTTCACATGGAATTTCACAATAGCCGATGTGACACGACCGATCATCGGAGTTGACTTCCTCAGCCACTATAATTTACTCGTTGACTGTAGGAATCAACGATTAGTTGACAATGTCACTACTCTCTCGGTCAACGCTGTAACCCGCACATCAATGGAGGACATCGCTTCGGTGAAGTCAGTCACAGGAGAAACCGAATTTAACCAAATACTGCGTGAATTCCCCGAGATAACTCGCCCTCCAGGTATGCACTTACCATGCAAACATAACACTCTGCACCACATCAGGACGACTCCAGGACCTCCAGTAGCCAGTAAGCCTCGACGCCTGGATCCACTTCGCATGCAAGCTGCGAAGCAGGAGTTCTCAGATCTGCTCGCCAGTGGCATAGCCAGACCATCGGAAAGCGCTTGGTCTTCTCCTCTACACATGGTAAGAAAAAAGGATAATGTTGGAGACCATGTGGAGGCTACAGAGCACTGAACAATAGAACTATACCTGATCGATATCCCATCCGTCATATCCACGACTTCTCACATCAATTTACAGGCTGTTCTATCTTTTCTACCATTGACTTAGTCAAGGCGTACAATCAGATTGCTGTCAATCCAGATGACATCATGAAAACGGCAATCACGACTCCATTTGGACTGTACGAATTCCCGTTCATGAACTATGGCTTAAGAAACTCAGCACAAACCTTCCAGAGGTTCATTGACGAGGTGTTGCAAGGACTCGATTTCTGCTACGGATACATAGATGACATCTTAGTGTTTTCGTCATAAATACAAGAGCACAAGAACCATCTGCGGCAACTCTTCGAACGCCTAAAGCAGTACGGCGTAGTGGTAATCACTGCCAAGTGCACACTTGGCCAACCAGAAGTCACGTTCTTGGGATACCACGTGTCAGCACTTGAGTCCAAAGTCGAAATTATCAGGCAATACCCCGTCCGAAAAACCGTCAAAGAACTAAGACGTTTCTTAGGCATGCTAAACTTTTACCTTCGCTTTATTCCCAACGTAGCCCAACTTCAAGCACCGCTGAATGACGTTTTCAGTGGCTCAAAAATCAAAGGGTCTCATCCGATAGACATGACTCCGCAATTACTTCGAGTATTCGAAGACTGTAAGGAATCATTATATCAAGCAACTCTTCTTGCTCATCCCGTCCCAGCTGCAGAACTAGCAATAGTGACAGACGCATCTGAAACTGTAGGTGCTATCCTTCAACAACGGAAAGGTAAGGATTGGCAACCACTTGCTTTCTACTCTCATAAGCTCAGCAACGCACAGAGGAAGTACAGCCCCTACGACAGAGAGCTTTTGGCTGTATACGAAGCCATCAAGTATTTCCGTCACATGGTTGAGGCCAGAATATTTACAATATTCACTGACCATAAGCCTCTAACCTTCGCTATCTCAAAAAGCAAAGACAAATGTACTCCTAGACAGTTCAGACATCTCGACTACATTGCTCAGTTTATCAACACTTTAAACGGTAATTTACCTGTCTATTGCGACATTTCTGTGCAACCGCCACGACCTTACATTACTCCTCAGTTCAGAAAACAAGTTTTTGAGACACTGCACAGCTTACACCATCCAGGAAGATCAGCTACTGTGCGATTGGTCTCACAAAGATACATATGGCCAGGGATACGCAAAGATTGTAGAGAGTGGTCAAGACAATGCTTGTCATGCCAAAAGAGCAAAATAACCCGTCGTACCATATCCCCACCTTCATCTTTCCTCGCTCCTTCGTTGAGATTTTCCCATATCCACCTCTACATCCTAGGGCCCCTAACTCTGTCTTCTGGTTACAGATATTGCCTTACCGTCATCGACCGATTCACGCGATGGCCTGAGGCATACCTCATGGTGGACATCACGGCGGAGACCTGCGCACCTGCTCTAGTGTCCGGCTGGATAGCCCGATTCGGCTGTCCTGCACTGGTGACTACAGACCGCGGACGCCAGTTCGAGAGTCACCTCTTCAAGGCTCTCACCAAGTTGGTTGATGCGCGTCACCTGCGCATCGAGCGACTTCATCGGCAACTCAAGGCGGCAATCATGTGCCACACATCATCACAGTGGACGGAAGCCCTTCCACTGGTTCTCTTGGGCATCCGCAACTCGTGGAAAGAGGATCTACAAGCTACGCCTGCAGAATTGGTATATGGTCAAACTCTCAGCTTACCAGGCCAATACCTATCTCCAATAGACGACTACACCACGGCAGACGTCACAGAGTACGTAACACGTCTACGATCCTGCATGGCGAAACTCACTCCCAAGCAAACAGCATGGCACATCAGCATTACAACGCCATTCTATATACCACGTGACCTCCACACATCCTCTCATGTCTTTCTACGCCGAGATCACGTCAGAAGCCCACTCGAACCACCCTACGACGGACTCTTCAAAGACAGGCAAGCCAAGTACTTCACCATAGAAATAAGGGGGAAGAAAAACAACGTCTCAGTGGACAGACTTAAACCAGCTTACATGGCTAAAGAAGCAAAAGAACCGGAACCCAAAGTCCCTACGGAACCAGCCATCAACAAGGAGAAAATCACGCGTAGTGGCCGAAGAGTAAGATTTACGGATTACTATCGACCGTAGTTACGGTCTGGCCAGGGGGAATATGTGGCGTAACTCGCTTCACTTAGACCTACGCAAATCCGCTGCGTGCATGAAGATTAAGCCACACGCTTATATCACGCCACAACCAGGGAAAAATGCAAATAATCGATAAGATAAGACACCGCACCTTCAACGGAAAGCCAGAATGTGCGACGTACGACGTTCATTCCGCCTGCAACCGGCATAGTAACAGGACGCGACGCGCTACTTATATCATTTAACTTACATTGTTCTCGTAGTTAATTTCATCTTGTAAAATTGTTTGTAGTAAAAGTTGTTTGTTACATGGAAATAGCATTACTTCATTCGAGTCAGTTAATTATTATTCCTGCCCTTCATTAGTATTCGATTATTTACAATATAACGTATTCAAACACAACATTGAATGTGGTCTTCACATCGGTCCCACATTTGAATACAACGTTGGGGCGTGGCCCTACAGCGTCTTTACCTGTAGCTAGGGTGGTCACTATACTTTACCGGTATCTATACGTATATGTTTTACTTTTAGGAGGGCTTACAAGCTGATTAAAACATACATAACAATATTAATACACTTATTCTAATAATAATAACAATGAAATAATGTATACTTATCATTTCCATTTATATATTTATACAGCCCAACCAGATGAGAAAACTATTAAAATACTCCAATAAAAAAAAATTAAGCCGCTTTCGTGGTGCAGTGATTAAGCCAATATCTACTAATTGAGACATCGTGGGTTCAATTCCTGATGGGAACCTATATCTGATATGGCAGGCGGAACAGCTTTGCAAAATTTCTCAATGACTAGATACAATCATCATCTGTATTAATACATTTATATTATATGTACATAAAAATAAATCGTGCTAATATTGTAAATTCGAAAGTGTGCTTGTTTGTTGATTTGCCATTTGATCGCGTTGCAACTGTGCAATAGGTCGACTAATTTATTGCATGGATGTAGTTGAAGACCTGGAGGCGCCAAATAACCGCCGCTACCGCTTGCCTCGCGAGAAAAAACGTAATGCTTTTGGTATTGGTACTTACCTAGTTTGCTTTATTTCAGATAAATTTGAATATGACTCGCCCTAAACCTAAAAAACGAAATCGAAGAAAAATAGGAGCAAGGGCCTATAAAACCTATTCCGAAGAAATGATCACTCTTGCTGTTGAAATGGTCCGTAACAAAAAAATGTGTCATCTTATGACGCAGAAAAACAATTTGGAATACAACACAATTCGACATAAAAAGGGCAAAAACACACTACTACACTACACACTAACAAACCTGGTCCACGGTACCGATTTTCAGAGGAAGAGGAGCTCCGATTTGTAAAAGTGCTTGTTATTGCATCTGAATTAGGATGTCCATTGACACGATTGTATTTCCGTATGATTGTGTTTGATTACCAAAAAAAAAAAAAAAAAATAAAGCCTAAATTTTTAATGAGAATCCTCCAGGTGACAGGTGGGTCAAGAACTTTTTGATAAGACACCATGATAAGCTTACCGTGAGATGTACAGAAAACATAAAAAAATGAGAGCCGAAAAATCCGTTCAAGATTTTAAAATATACTTTGAAAATTTAAAGTGCTGTGTTGAAGATTTGCTGGCTACTCGTATACTCAATTATGACGAAACAAATGTCAGCGATGACCCGGGGGCAGTCAAATGCATTTTCCGCCGAGGAATCAAATTGTAGCGGCGCTGTCGTCGCGCCACTAGCACACCGAAACACAGCGAAGCCTAAATCGCGCTATTAACATTCCGAATCATAAATAGTATATATAGAACATCTCCGAACTATCACACGGAGTGTGAGCCGCTCCCCGGGCAGAACACCTTGCGCGGCGGGAGATCTCCCCTTTTCCTTCCTCACCGGCCACATTGGTGACTAACCGACGTGATTTGAACACGCAAACAAAACAACCTTCGGAAACTACAACTTCAAGCTTTCGTCATTATCCTCAAGAACCCCTACCATTCACTATTGAGAATCGTCTTCTGCAGTCTTCAGTTCCTGCAAGCCAGTCCAACTTGTCTTCATCTCGACTCACCGCAGATTTATAAGACAGACTTCTGGCACTTGCTCCGGCACATCGTTCTCACCGGCATCACTTGCCAGTGCGTAGTACGGCATGCATTACACATCGGCATATCATTCGCACCGGCGTCACTTGTTCTTAGGCTCACAGCACGCATTCCCCACCGGCATTAAAAGGACACACCGGCAATCGGACTGCACTATTGACCTCCGGTCTGAGCAGGGGGTGATGTGGCGGCGCTGTCGTCGCGCCGCAAGCGAAACACACCGAAACTTAAATCACGCTATCAACATTCCGAACGAACATATAGAACATCTCCGAACTATCACACGGAGTGTGAGCCGCTCCCCGGGCAGAACACCTTGCCCGGCGGGAGATCTACCCTTTTCCTACTTCGGCCACAAAATATCCGGAAAGAATAGTAAACTACTCAAAAGGTTGTATTTCTATAATGTTTTCCGGAACAGCCAGTGGTGATCTTCTAGCTCCTTACGTCGTCTATAAATCTGAAAATATGTGGACACAATGGTGTGATGGAGGTCCAGAAGGCGCGCGTTATAATCGAACTAAAAGTGGCTGGTTCGACTCTGCCATGTTCATTTTTGGTTCATGATTGGTTTACAACAATAGTAATACCGTGGGCTCAACGTCTAGAAGGACCGAAGCTGGTTATAGGAGACAACCTTTCAAGCCACATTAACGTAGATGTGGTAGAACTTTGCGAGCGTCACAATATTAGGTTCGTGTTACTACCACCCAACTCTACGCATTTCACTCAGCCTCTGGATGTTTCATTTTTTTACTCCACTTAAACGAACGTGGAGGAAACTTCTTAATAAATAGAAAATAGAAAAACCAAAGCAGACGTCTCTCAATAAAATGCACTTTCCTTTACTTTTAAAGCAATTAATTGAAGAAGTAAACATAAATAAAGCTGATAAATTGATCAGTGGATTTAGAGCAACGAGCATATTTACATATAATCCACAGAAAGTATATTCGAAAATTCCGGAATACTGTGAAGAGATCACTATATCTATGTCATAACATAGATAAATCTTTACTGGACTATCTAAAAGAGAATCGGAATCCTAACCCAATTAGGCGAAATACAAATAAAAAATGAATGTCGCAGCTGGAAAATCTGTCACAAGCTTGGATATAACTAAAAACGTGACCAAGAAAAATAAACAGAGTGAAACTAGTGAAATAAGAAGCAAAACAAATTTTATTGTAAATAATATTGAAAAAGTGGTGCACGACGACGTACCAGATAAAAATAAGTCAAAAATAACTATTTTCTCAGAAGTTAGAATACTGCCAAAAACAGACAGGAATAAAAAAGCACAAACGACAAAGAAAGAAGAAGGAAAAGCTGGACCATCTGGTATTACGATAAAAAGAGAATTATAAAACGCTGAACCATCTGTTTTAAATACTGTTTTAAAAAAGATGTCAAAGGGAAGAGTATAAGAACTAAAAAACCTCCAAGATAATTCTTCGGATTCGGACTCTGACTGCTCTGTACAGTATGCAGATTCTTTGGATTACGATTTAATTGAAGACATGCAGGATTATTTATTGAGACAACTGATACAAGATCACAAAATGGATGAAAAGGAAAAAGGTGAACAAATGGCCTATTTGGAAACGAATGGACATGAGACAGAAAGCTTGAGAACGGAAAGTGATGTATGGATAGAAAACGAGATGTTAAATGACAAGGAGAAAGAAGAATGTGGAAAACAGGAAATACAAAAACAAATGAAAGAATTGGAAAAAAGGTATAAGATAAAAAAACTTGAGAATAGAAAGTGATAAAAGGCGAGTACAAGAGATGGTATATGAATATGACTTGGAGAAAATCGAATGTGAAATACAGGACAAAGAGGTACAAATGAAGGAATTGGAAACAAAATGACACGAGAAAGAAAACTTAAGGATAGAAAGTGATGAAAGGAACGGACAGAATGTGGAAAAACAGACAGTAAATGAATATGAAATGGAGAGAGGCTTATGGGAAGATCAGGAAACAGTGAAACAAATAAAAAACTGGAAACAAAAGAACACAGAATAGAGAAGCAGGAAAGAAAACAAGAGATAGAAAGCCTGTTATTAGAAAACGTTGAAAAAAAAAAGACTGAAGATAAAACGACCTAGACTAGAAGAGACTATGTCAGAAGAAGAGACAAAAAATGAACAAAATGGGAAGGCAAATAAAGCCGAAAGTTTATATATGGAAGGACAATACATCTTGGTAAATTTTAAAAGTACCAATTAAATACGTATAAGTATTACTGCGGCCTGATTACGAAAATATCCGAGCGTGAAGGTGTTTTCGCGAAATTCATGAGATATAAAAATTGATATAGTGCAAATTTCACCCAACCCCTATAAAAACCGTCGTGGAATTTTATATTTTGATATCAAATTTAAATATAAATTGGAATAATTCTTTTAGTTTTATTTTCAATACACTTTGGCTGAAACTATGATAGTATACGTATGATAAATATGTGACAACTAGTACTTTAAATACATTATATACTTTACAATTTTTACAAGTTTATCGCATGGCATTTCAAAACACTCCATGCGACTATCTAACTTGCATTTAATCAATGTTTTTATAGCCGTACATTTTGACTTCATTTTTAAACAAGTGGCAGCCCTGATAATAAATTACATTTGTACGAGAATTTTAATGGAGTCCATGCCATCTTTACCTATAAGCCTGTATTGCTCGTATATATCTTTTTTAATTAAAATACCAATATGTCTAAACAGAGAGTGTAAAGCGAAAGGGTATCTTTACCAATTTCAGTTATAAAGGCTTCATTTTACCGAGATATTCGGTATAGGTAAAATAGTCATTTTTGCGGCATCTTTACCTGTAGTTGTGTTGCTTTAAAAAACGTATCGGTATTAAGTTGTTCATCGGCAGTACAACGTATTAATTAAGCTGTCTATGTCCAAGCTGAGTTAGAAGAAGAAAACGATGACGTAAAAATACAAGAAATTAGTGAATACTTTTCTGATTTCGGCATCCAGGCTATAGGCCATATTGCGGGATTCATCGTAGGGATTTTACTAAAAAAAATTAAATGTGATATCTGTATAGGATTATACAGATATCAGATTTAATTTTTTAATTTGATATTAGGAGGAGCATTGGTCACTCACCATTTTGAGCATTTTCATAAATTCATAATAGACAAAGATGGTGGCGGTTCGCTTTATCCCTCTACTGATGTTTTCAAAATTTGCCAAATTGTTGAAATATACTTAAAGCAAATAGATATAGCCAAATTCAACAAGCATATAACCACTGAAAAAATATTGAGACTTGTTACAAATTTATTCAATTCTATCAGTTACCATCAATTAAGCGAGTTTCCTGGATCCAATCATATCACTGATTTGATAAAGGTGATAGTTGATAAATACATTAATATCCGAATTCATCATCCTCTAAAATAAATATTTAACTATCAAAACGTCAATTTTTAAATAAATATGTATTATTTCAAGGTCAATAAACAATAATATAAAGTAAAAAAATTAAAAATAACTTCGCAACCTTCCGCTAAATAACTTAACTAACTATTTAGCGAAAGGTTGCGAAGTTATTTTTATTTTTTTATTATAATGGATTTCCGCAAAGTAACGCCTGGTTCTATTTAATATAAAGTTTTGTTTCTTATTATAATCTATGTTTCCATTTCAAAAATGATAATTTAGCTCACTAATAATATATTTCCATCAAAGTTAAATGATTATATACCGGCTATGTGAATTACGGGAATATGCGTAGGTAGTACATTAGGGTAATTTCTAATAAATTTTATTTTACTCATTTTGTCATAGATTTTATATACCTTAATGTTGACTGAATATCGATATTGTGTGTAGTGTGATAGTGTAAATACTCGTACATCACTAACATAATTCACGTACCAGTAGTGGGTCAGATAGGGCAAAATTAACCTTAAATCCATTTAAATTGTGCCCGTAATAGCGTGGATTTATTATTGCTACATCTAGCGTCACGTAGCAAATTTTTATTCGTCAATCTCAGAAGCTTTTTGGGTTAAAACATAATGATATCTATTGTTAATAGCTTATGGTACGTTTAAAATATCCGCGGTGTTAATGCGACATCTAACGTTAAGAAGCTGAATTTGATCATTAATTCTAGAAACTTCTTTGATGAAAATGAAAATAAAGATCATATTTTGAAGAACTTATGTTCCGTAATCAAGCGAATCGAGAGTAACATAATGCCTTTATATTCCGTGTGTCTTTCCCTCTGACCTCTATATATATATATATATATATATATATATATAGAGGTCAGTGGTCTTTCCCTTTTATTTTTGAATAGCCAAACAAAAATAAAAGGGAAAGACCACAGAAGACAAGACATCAAATGATTGAAATAGTGCACAATTGTCGGTAGACGTTGCTTTCTTGTGAATGCGACAGTGGTTCTGGTACAAGTTACATGTTTTGCTACTTCGACTTGTTTTTTATATTCTGTGGAGCTAATAGTAGATAGTAGAGCCACATCAATGATTAATTTTAAGTTTTAAAAATAGTATCTGCGCTAGTACCTTTTATTACTTTGTGACATAGACTTAGAATAGGTATACTACCAGTATATTCTAATGGCGGCTGCACACGCTCGTCGAGACACCACGAGACAGGCCGAGTACGAGTGTATACATGGTGTCCTCGTCGCGTCGCGTCGCGTTGCGTCTTTTGACACACACACAGCGTGTTGGTTTTTTGCGTTCGAGTCAAAGGGTCTCGTGAATCTCACTATGAAAACCAGAGTATACGCTATACTATTCAAAGTACATGGTTCTGTTACGGTAAATAGAAACCATCCACCATCTTCTTCCTCGCCGTAGCTTGTTAATTTTTTTATGGTAAATGTGTAAAAATTATAATAAATAATAGCACAAAGGCAAAACGCAGCAACAGTTTCATCTAAATCCATCTCAGCGGGCATACGGAGTCCAATGATACAACGAGTGTGTAGATGTTGTGTTCTCGTGTCGAGCCTCTACGTGACGAGAGGCAAGCGAGGCGACGAAACGAGCGTGTACAGCCGCCATATGTCTATGACATTGTGATAATATCCAAAGAGAAAATAATCACTACGTTTAAGAGGCGAGACTGTGTGAATCAAGACGCTTTCCCCAAAGGGGGTCGCTTTCGATACGGCAATAAGACCTTACTAGATTAAAGCCAGTCTCAGGTGGTGTTTAGTTGGTAGGCACTCTAGGTTTCTCAGTGAGTCCCCCCCATCTTAACACCACCTCCCTCCACCGCTTCCCGGAGGGTAGCCCTTTACTTTTGCTTCTGGGCGCAAAAAAAGAAGCCGGACTTCCTTCGTAAAAGTAAATGTATAAAAGGGTGTCAACGAACCCGTATCAAGACATGACATTTAATTTTTGAAAAACAGTGCTGACAACATGGCGAATTATAATAGTGCTGTACCTATCCTCGAATAACTATCGATATAATGTTTATCCATATATTGTTTATCGATATTTTTATATAATAAAAGTTAGGTTTGTATACTGAACGATTTTTAAGATATAAAAGTTTTTTACGTGGAGATTGAGTAAAAATACCGATGAGGATAAAAGCCAATGTATTTTACACACAGCAATTTGTAATTATATCTTTACAATAATTAGCTACAAAAACATGTATAAAATAAACAACGCATAATTATACTAGTAATTAATTAAGTAAAAAATAAATGACGCCTCTGCTACGCAGTGGTATAAGCGTTTGGCTGCGGCACTGCAGGACCGAGGGGGGAATTCGTTCCCGCGCTAAAAGAGTGCTTCTGCTGTAAAATAAATAGTTTGGGTCTTAATGCTTGTTTTTAATATTAGTCTTTTTAAAGTTTTCTTTTTAACTCAACAAATACAATGTAAGCAGTCACAATTGATAATATAGTTTATAAGTACAGCTCGTTTCGGATTTACATCTCATCAAATTATCAGAATTAGGAAAAAGTGTGTTTTTATTTGTGCACACAATCAAACACTATAAAAACCTGTCCTAAGTAGATGGCTAGTCTCAAGTAATACTAGCGTCCGTAATCAAAGTGCGGTTTGGAGGACATTACTACGAATAAAGGTTAAAAAACCAATCAAAGTTGAAATCCTTACGGTATATCTCTCCATCTACGGGAAATATTGCCATGAATAGCCTTTTCTTGTTATTATTTGTATCGCTTCTAACACCATCGAAGTGGCATGTTTTATTATGCATACTTGATTTTTTACAATTATATAAAAGGAAGTACTCTTTTAGCAAAATTAAAAGCAATTCTAACACTAATGCGTCAGTAGCTTCATCATAATTATCGGATATAATACACCACTTAGTCAATGTCCGTGGTGCAAGCAAACATGTTCCAAAAGTTTTACCTACATAGCTATAGGCTTTTCGTTAATAGAAACAGAAACAGAAACTTTTTTATTCAGTGTAGATTATAACAACACTTATTGAAAGTCACTTTTTTATTTACCACTGTATGTAATATTCAATTATATATTATTCAATAATAATCAAGTGTTAGGGCGAAACATCTTAACTCTGTGAAATATTTAGTTCTGGGCAGTCTTACTTTTTTTCCAGTCTTACTTTTAAGTAATTGTCTCTTTAAAAGTTTACTTTCTTCAGTTCCTATCTTTTCTAGTACCTGTTAATTTTCTTTATTTATAAAAGATGTCTTTGTCAGCGAATCTAGTTCTTGTAAACTTATAACTTTTTTCTTTAACTACCGTTATTGTTTTCTATTGCGAGGCATATTTTTGGTTTAATTTTCCTTGGTGTGTATAGTTTGTTTGCTTAGATGCGTCGTTTTTGTGCCGCGTCACCTCAACACGTGCTATTTGGTCAAAGGCGTGACATTAAATTGGTACTGTAAAGCACCTGAAACGTCGGAAAACAAAGTCAAAACTAAGCGCCATAAAATCCGTAAGTTTTGTTTCATTTAATGTGTAGTGTTCGCGTAAGTATAAGAAGTCTTTACTGTAAACTTAACGAAAT